GACGACGACGACGACGACGACGACGACGACGACTATGCCAGAGTCAGGGGAGGAAGAGATACCGATGCCACTGCTCGTCCTGGGGAGCCCGTTGCGGCTGGATTCTCCTCGAAGCTCTGGTCAGAACGACGCACCTCGGGAGAGATCCGAGGCGCAGGGGTAACTATCGGTACCTATCCTTGCCCCCCACCCACCCACCCTCAGTACAAACCAGGACATTGCAAACCAGGACTTGGAACATTCCAGCCGAGGAAACACAGAGAATGGAGAAGTTCTCCTGACCCACGGTTGCAGTTTTCAGATGGGTGCGCCAGTGCCCCGGTTTCGCGGGAGTGGAAGATCCGGGGTCCAGGAAGGGTATGCTCAGCGTTCGAGTCGGCCGAGTTCCCTCGGGTGATGCCCGGGAGGCCAGGGCACTGACCCGAACCGTCGTGGCGCTGAGGCGGCAGCTCCACGGCTGACCGGTCAGGTCAGTGCTCGGGCAGCCCTTGTGGCACTCACACAGTCATCCTCCAGGCCCAGCGCCGACCTGGCGGTTTTCTTATTCCCTATCTGCGGGGGTCCAGCCGGCCGGGGTTTCGGCATTGCCGCCGCAGAGTTCGCCCCAGAGCGCGCTGGCGGACGACGACGCCCGACGACGAGGGCGACGCCCGACGACGACGCCCGACGACGACGACGACGAGGACGAGGACGACGCCCGACGACGACGACGACGACGCCCGACGACGACGACGACGACGACGACGACGACGAGGACGAGGACGACGGACGACGGACGACGGACGACGGACGACCGACGACGGACGACGGACGACAGACGACGGACGTCCGACGACCGACGACCGAAAGACCGACGACCGACGACGACGACGCCGCCGACGACGAAGACGACGACGCCGCTGCCGCCGCCGCCGCCGACGACGACGACGACGACGACGATGACGACGAACGACAGACGACGAACGACGGACGACAGACTGCCGACCGACCGAACGACCGAACGACCGACGACCGACGGTTGCACACCCCAGTGAGAGCCCACGCCGGCGCAGGCGCCCCGGAGCGCCGCCCGCCCGCCGGCGGGCGGGGGCCGCCGCCGCAGTCGCCGGAGCCCGCCCGCCAGGCTTCTCGCGCGCCTTGGGGGGGAGGCGGGCGAGCTGGGTCTCGTCCCCACGGCGGCGACGACGACGACGACGACGACGACGACGACGACGACGACGACGACGACGGCGACGACGACGACGACGACGACGATGACGATGGGTCGCGTCCCGACGACGGCGACGACGACGAGGGGACCCGCCCTCTTCGCCTTCGATCGTTCCCGGTTTGTACAAGCATGGTGCGGGGTCGAGGGGTCACGGGCCCCGCCAGATGGGATGGGCCCCACTGTTCCATTCTGACCCAAAAGGGGGTCCAGCGACAAGGGTGTGGTGCAATATATTTGATGCAATAGATTTGTGGGGTTGCAACAGATTTGGGGTGTGCAATACATTCCAGTGCGCAAATGTATTGCTGGGCTTTCGCGTGCAATACATCTGTTGCAATACAATGCAATACAATTCTCTGGCGCAGTACGATTGCGCAATACACTTGCCACAAATCTAATGCACTACCCCCTTTCAGCTGGACCCCCTTTTGCCTGTTTGGGTCGACCAGATCCACAGGCCCCATCCCCCCGCCCATGATGGGGTCATGGGGGGGTGACGACGACGACGACGACGACGACGACGACGATGACGACGACGACGACGACGACGACGACGACGACGACGACGACGACGACGACAACGACATCACGGCGACGTCGTGGCGCCGTTGTCGTGTTCGGCGTCAGCGTCGGCGTCGGCGTCGTCCGTCGGCGCGCCCACGACGACGACGGGATGAGGCGGGGGCGGCGCCGGCGACGGCTGCACCGCGGCTCGGCCTCGCCCCCCGCCAAGGGCGCGCCCGTGGCGGAACGCGGTTTGTCAGGAGGGGAAAAAACACACAGACACAATTATTCGTCGATTCCCAGAAAATATGCGAAAATATGGGAAGTGGGGGGGAAGACAGAAACCCAGAAAATATGGGAAAATATGGGGAATCTTTTTATTTGTGTGTATTTATTTGTGTGTTTGTGGGCCCCTTCAGTTTGGGCACGCGACATCAAGTGCGAAACCAGCCTGCCACCAGGTGCCCCACGGAATTGTCTTATCTGCCCATGTGTCGCCTTGCACCACGCTCGACACAGAGCCTCCCAAGGGTCCTTTCTAGCGCAGTCGGTCAGATCCTCGTGGTCCCCTTACGTTTTGACGGGTGGTTCATGATTGACCAGGTCTTCGAGCCCAAGTTGTGTATCGTAGCGTACGTTTGCCAAGAATACTTGGGGACCCACAGGAGCCTTGGGGCACCTTGGAGAGCCCAGAGATCTTCGACAGACGTGCCTACAGATCTCCTGTGGCGGGATATCTCATCGTATGCGTATGCTGTTGACGAGGGTGGAGGGCCGCGCCGCGTCGCCGATGATCATCGGCGACGCGGTGCGATCCTCGGACCCCTCTCGGCCTCCCGGTGCCCGAGCGTCAGTTTGCTTCGTTGGCCTCCGTTGGGAACGGTGGAGCTCCGAGCGGCCCTTCGTGCGCCATCTCGCCCCGCGCGCTAAGGGGCTATGGTGGTTAAGCGCACATCAGCGCTGCGACACGTACACTCACCAGGCCTTTTGGAGGAAAAACATCAGTTTACACGGACTCCATATCTCGTATATGAAACTGAGGGGCCTGGACTGGAACCTAAGCGTTTCTTCAGAGCTCAGTCTCTTCGTATAGCTTCCGTCGATCTGGACCTGGCCTTCAGTCTACACAAACGGTTCGAGGGACGAGTAAGAACCCTTCTAGGCAGAGCCTAGGTAGGGAATGAAGTAGGAAGGCATTGAAAGTAGACTGGGTTCCGTCCGACCCCTTTGGGTCGACGGAAAGGGTGAAGCCACTCTGTCATGGAAGCAGGAAGGCGCTTAATGCAGATTGGAGTACTGAGATCCAGAAATACCTGCTTTCAGCGACCGATGGGTCGCGACAAACCTCCCGCCGTGATTCTTGTCAGGGCTCGAAGGGCCTGCGAAGGAGGGGCTCCGGTGGTCGGGCCGCTGCCGGGAGAGCCGGGGGAGCCCCGGGAGCCTGTCCGCGGCAGGGGCGCGCCCGACATGGCCGGCTGGCCAGGCCCCTCCGCTCCCTGGGCGTTGCGCAATGGGGTCAGAAATGGGGGGGGTCAGAAACCCAGACCCCCTCGAGTAGTGAAAAAATCACGACGGGAGGTTTTTCCTAATTTTCGGCCTCCGGGGGCCCTCACTGGGCCTCGGGAGCGTCAAAAAACGACTCAGGATGAAAAGCCGGTCATGGGGAAAGGGTCGGGACCTCTGGGGGTCGACGTAATGAAAAAATCATGACGTCGGGGGTCTGGGAATGGGGGGGGCGGGGCGAGGGTGGTCCGAAAAGGGTTCCCAAACGGTACCTATATAAACGAGCCCTCTGGGGCTCCGGAGGGGCCCGACAGGGGCACGAAAGGGGGATTTTTTCTGACACACCGTTTATGACCCCCCCCATGAAGCCACGCCCAAGCTCCCTGCCCTGCGCGCCCCTCTCGTGACTGCACGCCAGCCCTGCGTAGCCTCTTGGGCTCAGGCTGCCCAGACAGACCCAGACCCCCCCTCGCGTTGTGAGAAAATCGCGACGGAAAGCTCTTCGCTGTTTTCAGCCTCCGGGTGCCCTGACCGGGCCTTGGGACCGTCCAAAGACGACTCCGGATGAAAAACCGGTCCCTGGGAAGGGGTCTCGAGACCCCTGCAGGGGGGTCGACGTGCTGAAAAAGTCCTGACCTCGGGGGTCTGGGGACCCAGACTCCCGGTGTCATGACGTTTGGCACCGACCCCCAGAGGTCTCGAGATCTCGACCCCTTCCCAGGGACCGGTGTTTCATTCGGAGTCGTCTTGTGACGGTCGTGCGGCCCGGCGAGGGCCCCCGGAGGCCGCAGGCGGCTCTACGAACGCGTCCGTCGTGCTTTTGTGCGTGGCCCGAGGGGGGGGGGGCGCTCTGGGCAGGCGGCCGCGCACAATGCAGTGAGGCCGGGCTGGTGGCGGGGCGCCCCCCCTGCCTGTCGGCGCGCGCCAGGGGGCGCTGAGGGGAGCGGCGCGGCAAGCGCGGCCGCGAGGAGCTTACCCTCGGCTACACGCAAGAGTGACCTTTCGCCGGAGTGACCTTTGGTGCGGGCTCATCGGGCTCCCCCCGATCGCCGAGCGCGATGCGGCATAAGTGGCCCGCGCCCTTGGATTTGGCTCCCTCGCGCCCCCAAAAGCTGCGCACCAAAGGTCACTCTTACCCAGGGTCACTCTTACGTCTAGCCGATGCCCTCAGGATCAGCGTGTGGGGGGGGATAGGCTCGGGGGGGACAGTGTAGCGACCCCCATGCAGCACCCCTCGAAGGCAAGCGCGAGGTTTGTTGGGTGCCGCTTGACGCGCGGAGCGCGGCCCGCGGGGTCCAGTTTGTGTGTTTGCAGCCGCCAGCGTCGGCGCGAACATCGAAAGTGTGGGGTCCTGGGGCGCCGCCACGTCGCGGGAAAGACTCGCGTTTAATCTCGAGGAGGGTTGGAATTAGGCTCAGGGGGGAACGTATCGACCCCCTGTCCGTCGGGCCTCGACGGTTCTCTATCCTCGGGATGTGCTCTCCAGCACCTGCACGTCGCCGAGGGCGGGCCGCGGGAGACCCCCGATCTGGAATGCGAGAGCTGGACGACGGGGAGCACTGTGGTGCACAGCACTACGGGGCGCACATCGACCCGCCATCGCCCGTTCTGTTCGCCGACAGGGGTCCGATAAGGAGCTCCGCCCCGCCCAGAGGAGCGCGCGGTTCTCGCGATCCGGGGCCTGTCGCCGGTCTACCGGCGAAGTATATCTCCGATTCCAGGCCGCTGGCTATAGCCCCCCCTCCCCCCCCCCCCCCGTGCCAGTCCCCCCCCCCCCCCCGTCGCTCCCCCTCGGCCCGAGGGCCGCGGCGGGAGCGGCGCGGTGAGCGCGGCGCGAGGCTGGCATGGCCCGAGTGCTGGCCGTCGGTATCGCGCTGGTCGGCCTTCTGGCCTCGCCGGCGGCCGGATCCCGAGGCCCCCGCGCCCGGCCAAAGGCGCCAGGCAGCGGCTCCGCGCTCGCTGTGGTGGGCGGCGCCTCCAGAGGTCGGCTGCGCGTCAGAGCGACCCTTCGCCGGAGTTCGGGCGGGGCCAGGACGAGGAGGAAGCCGTTCCAGGGCGCTCCGATGCCATCCTCGTCCTGGCTTCGCCTTCCGAGTGACCTCCTCTAGTGCGGGCGCCCTCGGGGGTCTCCCCAGAGGGCTGGCTGCGACGCGATGGCAGCGGCGTGCGGCGCGCTCAGGTTCGGCCTCCCCCCGCGCCCCCCGGAAGCCGCGCAGCCCGAGGTCACTCGTCGCCGGGGGTCACTCCTTGCGTGTAACTGGCCGAGGCGATGGTTCCGCGTTCGCTGTGGCGGGCGGCGCCCCCAACGAGTCCAGCAGGCCGGCGCTCGCTGGCCCTCCGGAGCTGGGCCGGCTGGCCGAGGTCCAGGAGGAGCCCGCGGGGGGGGACGTGGATGGCATGATGGCTAAGATGTGCAAGACCCACCCGGATCACCCGATGTGCGCGCAGTTCGTCACCAGCACCACGACCACCACTGTGACCACCACCACGGTGACCACGACGACCACCATGACGACCACCGTGACAACCACGACGGTGACGACCACGACTACCGCGACAAGCACAACAAGCAGCACGAGCACAACCACGACAACCCTTACCACCACGACAACCACCACCACGGTGACTTCAACCAGTACCACATCCACGGAGAGCACGACCACGACGACCACGAATACGACTACCACCACAACCACGACAACAATCACCACCACCACAACCACAACGAACACAACGAGCAGTACGAGTACAACCACGACCACCATCACGACTTCGACATCGACCACGACGACGACCACAATCACCAGCTCGACCACCACGACCACAACCGCGACAACCACCACGACGCAGACTGCTATGACCACGACTACGACGACAACAGTCACGACGACGACTGTCACCACGACGACGGTCACAACAACGACAGTCACAACAACGACTGCCACCACGACGACGGTCACGAGCACAACGACCAACAAGACGACGATGCCATGCCCGGGCTGTCCGACCAATACGACCATGGCTAGCAGCACAGCCACCAGCACCACAACCACAACTGCGACAACCACAACAATAACCACCACAACCTTGACAACAACCACTGTCACCACAACCACGACGACAACCACAGTCACCAGCACAACTACAATTACAACGACAACGATCACGACAACAACGGGAACGACCACGACCGTCACGTCAACCACCACAACCACCGTTACCACGAGCACAAGTACCACAACGACCACAACCATAACAACCAGTACCACGAAAACCACGAGTACCACAACTACGACCACCACGGCTACGACGACCACCAAGAGGCTGCTGAAGCGCCACCCGCATCCGTCCGGCCAGACCGAGATCGGCGACTGGCAGAACGAGTACGGCCAGCCGAACGCCAGCGCCGAGTGGAAGGGGTGGTGGGAGCGCACGCCGACAAGCACCGCACCCACGGGGGCCGCGGACCTGCACGCTCGAGGCGTGAGCTCTCACCGCGCAGTCGCCGGGGCGGCCGGTGGCGGCGCGGAGTCGCTGGTGAAGGCCAGCTCGGAGAGGGCGCGGCGCGTGGGGGCGGACCTCCACGGGGCCCGCGGCGGTGCGCTGCGGACGTCTGCTCCGTCCGCTTCGCGGGAGGCGGGGCGGGGGTCGCGGGAGTCGGCCGCCGAATCGGCGGCGGCCGGCGGGGCCAGCCTGCACGGAGGCAGCAAGGCGGAGCGGAAGAGGTTCTTCGAGGAGGAGTGGAAGAGGTTCTTCGAGCACCGGGACTTGGGCGAGAAGAGGCCCCGGGTCCGGAGGGCGCCCGAGAAGTCCCGGGCAGTGCGGGAGGTCGACGGCGGGGGGCGGGTGCTGCCAGAGCCCGCCGTGGCGAGCTTGGCTGCCCAGTCGTCCGTCGGCAAGCGCTCGACAGCGACGCAGGGCCCAGACGGTGCACAGGACTAGGGGAACGAAGAATGACATAAACAAAAAAACTCGGAGGTCTGCGCGCATTTCTCGGATCGGCGCTGGACCCCCCTCCCTGGCGCGCGGAGCGCCCCAGGGGCGGCGCCGCCGGGGGGCCACAGCGCCGAGCCGAGAAGCCCGCGCGGCCGTCCGAGGTGTCCTGCCTCTGCCATCCCTCGCCCCCCGAAGGCCCTGAGGACGGCGCGGCGGAGCCCCGTGCGCTGAGGCACCACGCCCGCAAAGACGGCTCCGCCGACGCGGGGCGGGCGAGCCGCAGCCCCGCGCGGCGCGGCGCGGCCCGGCGGCGCGGGCGGTGCGGGCGCTCCTCGCGGCGGCCCGCGGGCGGCGGGCGCCTCCCGCGGGGCGCCGAGGGCCGCCGGGGCCGCGCCTGCCGGCCGCCCCGCGGCGCCTCGGGCGCCGTAGGCCCGACGGGTCCGAGCGAGAGCCGAGGCCTCGCGCGTGGGCTCGGCCGTCCCGCGGTCGCCCCGAGGCATACGACGGAAGCACGGCGGGAGGTGCTCGCCATTGGTGGGGCCTCCACGAGCGCCGCGAGATGTAGCACCGGTCCCTGCCGGGCTTCGGGGCCGTCCACGAGCGCCGCGGGATGTAGCACCGGTCCCCGGGGAGCGGGCCGAAGCCTCCGGGGGTCGGCGCCATGAGAGAGAAGCATGGCGTCGGTGCTCTGGGATTGCAGACTGGGCTTCGCTTGACCTCTGCGATCGCTCGGCGCATCTCGTGGGCGCCGTCATCCGCAGGGGAGCGGTGCTCCCCGGGACAAAGCTCGGGAGGAGGAAAAGCACAGATTCGTGACACGCAGTTGGTGGGAGCCCATCGGCGTCTTACCCCTCCGTTTTTGTCCGAAGACGTGGCAATCTTCAAAAGTAACATGCTGATGGGTTCCCCACCGCGGCGTGCCATTGGTATCGTTTTTGCTCCCCCGATTAAAGAAAAAGTCTGCATCCGAGAGGGTGCCCCTGCAACACGCGAGCCCGCGGCGAGCACCTGGCAAAGGGTTGCCCTTAGAGAGCGCCCAGGCCTCCACAGTCATGGAGTCGTGGAGGATGAGCCCACTGTGACCGCCCTTCACCGAGCGCGTTCCACTGCTCGCAGGGTGCCTACTCGCAAGCGTCTGGCAGAACATAGCTTTGCTCGCATGTGGTGGATCGCAGATCCCCCGCGGCGGGGTCCAGGCCATCTGCGAGGAGATACTTTGCGAGCAGTGGAGCCCGCCCGTCTACCACTCAGGAGTAGGCGGTGTTCTTGTCGAGGGCACACCAGCGCCATGGGGATGCAGCGCCATCGAGGTGCCATGACATTCGGAGCGTATCACGGCACAACGATGCATGGCACAGCACTGGCTCGCATAGTTCACCGCCGAAGGGCATGGCGCATCGCAGTGTAGCATCGCATAGCATGGCGTATCATATCATCGCATTGCGTAGCACTATATGGCATAGCATAACACCACATCGAGCTGCATCATGCAACTCAGCTCGGCATGGCACCGCATGACATTGCATAGCCAAACACTGGATAGGGCATCACATACGATAACATCTTTTCATAGCATACTGGGCCATTGCCTAACATGCCATAGCGCATCATGCTACCCAGCAGCATAGCATAGCACATGCAACATATATTGTCACGGCGTTGCACGAGTAGCGATCGCGCGAGGAATTGGCGCTCATGTCGGGCGGGGCCGGCCTGACAGTGGGGCTGACGAGCGGTCGTTTCCTAATGGTGGCGGCAAAGCGCACCAAACAGCGCGCCTAGAAGTGTGTCATGCGTTCTAGTCGTCACTAGACACTCAGGGGCATCCGCGCAGAAAGTGGCGACGCGACGCGCGACGCGTTGGGCGCCAATTGGCGAACGGTCCCGCCAGGTAGTACATGTCTCACACGTCGAAGAAGTGGCCCGCGCTCCTCTGCGAGCCCGCCCGACGTAACTCTTGGAGCCCTCTTCGGGGTCAACGGGGCGGAGGCAGAGAACGAAGGAACGAAAGAGAGAGAGAGAGAGAGAGGAGGAGTGAAGAGGGAGGAGGGAGGAGGGAGGAGGGAGGAGGGAAGAGGGAGAGGGAGGGAGGAGGAGGAGGGAGGAGGGAGGAGGGAGGAGGAGGAGGGAGGAGGGGGAGGAGGGAGGGAGGGAGGAGGAGGAGGGGAGGAGGGAGGAAGAGGAGGGAGGAGGAGGAGGGAGGAGGTGGGAGGAGGGAGAGAGGGAGGGGGAGGAGGGAGGAGAAGGAGGAGGAGGAGGGAGGGGAGGGAGGAAGGAGGAGGAGGAGGAGGAGAGGAGGAGGAGGGGGAGGAGGAGGGGAGGAGGGGGGGAGGGGGGAGGGGGGAGGAGGGAGGAGGAGGAGGAGGAGAGGAGGAGGAGGAGGAGGAGGAGAGGAGGAGGGAGGAGGAGGAGGAGGACGGAGGGAGGAGGGGGGAGGGGGAGGAGGAGGAGGAGGAGGAGGAGGAGGAGGAGGAGGAGGAGGAGGAGGAGGTGAGGAGGAGGAGGAGGAGGAGGAGGAGGAGGAGGAGGAGGAGGAGGAGGGAGGAGGAGGAGGAGGAGGAGGAGGGAGGAGGGAGGAGGAGGAGGAGGAGGAGGAGGAGGAGGAGGAGGAGGAGGAGGAGAGAGAGAGAGAGGCACGCTCTGCCGACCCGCCGGCCGCCCCAGAGCCAGGCGCGCGGTGGGACCTCGGCGCCCCGAAGTCGTTGAAATGTCCACTGGGGCCCAGAGCCTTGGGTCGCACGGCCGAACCACCGTGGTCTCGATCTTCGCACGCACCAGCGTCTTTGCTTCGCACGGGTGCTCGGCGATCTTCAGGAGGGAAAAAACACAGACACTAATCCTCGTCGATTCCCCAGGAAAATATGGGCAAATATGGGAAGTGTGGGGGGGGGAAGACAGAAACCCAGAGAATATTTGGAAATATTAGGAATCCGGTTACTTGTGTCTATTTATAAATGTGTCCCAGGGCCCCTTCAGATCTGGCTCTCCAAGCTACACAGCTGCTACCACACATGCTGGACCGCAGACGTCTGGTTGGCCCAAAAGGGGGCCCAGCGACAAGGGGGTGGTGCAGCAGATTCGATGCGATAGATTTGTGTGTTGCAAGAGATTTGGGGCGTGCCATACCTGCCGGGGCGCAAACGTATTACTGGACTTGCGCGTGCAACACATTCTAGTTGCAATACAATGCCATACAACTCTCCGGCGCAATATATTGGGCTGGCCTCCAGTGCCGCCGATCCGGGGAGTCAGACTTGGGGACGTCTTGGAGGTTTCTGGAACTGTCTTCGGGGCATCTTGGGCGGTTCGAGCGATGTTTCGGCGATTCGGGGCCCTCTTGCATTGTGTAGGGGGCCTCTGGGGCCTCTCTTGGCTTCCTCTTGGGCTGTCTTGGGCGGTCGGGGCTCCGGAGGTGGAGTTTTCTATACCCCTCTGTCCCCGGGTACCGAAAAACGTCGGAAATGACGTCGGAAATATCACCGTGTACTGAAAAACGTCGGAAATGACGTCGGAAATAACGTACGCCCCCCCCCCTGCAGAGCGAAGCTTGAGCGAGCTCAAGTCCACGCTCTCAGAAACTCACACGCCAGATCGGCGGATTTGCAATACAATTGCCCCAAACCTATTGCATCACCCCCTTTCAGCTGGACCCCTTTCTGGGCCAAGAGGAGGAGGAGGAGGAGGAGGAGGAGGAGGAGGAGGAGGAGGAGGAGCAGGAGGAGGAGGAGGAGGAGGAGGAGGAGGAGCAGGAGGAGGAGGAGCAGCAGCAGCAGCAGGAGGAGGAGGAGGAGAAGCCCAAACACTAGCTCGCCGAGTTCGCCCCTCGCCTCCAAGGCCCACTGCGGGTCTCCTGCCGTTCTCCCGAGGGCCGAGGGGGAGAGAGGCAGCGCCGCACACGCGAGAGAGGCCACGCAACGCCGGACCTGCGCCCCCATGGAGGCCTCGGGCGGGCCCGCCGGCGGGCCCGGGGCCCCGCCAAGGGGGGCTTCTGGAGGCCTCGGAGGCCTCGGGGCCTCTGGAGGCCAGGGGGGCCCGCTGGCGGGCCCCGGCGGGCCCGCCGGCGGGCCCTCTGGAGGCCTCGGGTGGGCCCGCCCGGGGGGGCCTCCAAGAGGCAGAGGGGGCGGCCACGAGGGGGCTGCTGGCCAGGAGGGGGGGGAAGGGATCTCAGGGCGGGGGCCATGAGATCTCCCCAGATTTCATGGCGCCTCTTCTTAGTTCACGTCCCCTGCCCCCCCCCCACCTTGGCCGCGCGCATGCCGGTGCATCGCCAATGCATCGCCGATGTATCGCCGATGTACTGGCGATGCGGCGCGATCCTCTGACCCTATCTGCTCCGATCCCACCTAAGAGGCCTCTACAAGCTCGGCCGCCCCTTGAAACGGCCAGGGCGCGTTTGTTGTGTGACTTCCGTCGTCCGTCGCTGCCGGCCCCGTGTCGCTCCGTGTGTCTGAGAGGGGAACAAACCGTGTTGTTTCGGGTGTCGTTACCGCGTTCCGCGCAGATGTTGCTCGGTGTCTGGCTCTTCGCATGCCCCCTTTTTCCGTTCGCGCCTGATTCTTTCTGTGGTTCGCTCGCTTGGGCCACGTTGTCCGTTCTCTCGGGGCGTGGCCAGTCCTGCTCCCGGAGCCGCCGCTTTATGTTGCCGTTGTTGCAGTTTCCGTACCTCGGCCGCGCCGTTGTTGATTTCAGGCATCGGGAGTCTCGTGCATCAAGGACGGAAGCCGTCAACCTACAAGAGCAGCAAAACCAGCGCCCTGGCCGCTTCGAGAGGCCAGCTGAGCCCAGAGTGCACGAAGACGGCACGAAAACGGCCCGAGGCGGCCCCAGACCACAGACGGCGGACCGTGCGGTGGAAGGGCAGGGCAGTCGCAGGCGATTTTTCTCCCCCACCCCCCGACTCTTCGTCGAAAGGTGAGGCCGCTCAGGAAAAGAGGGGAACCTTGGGATACACTCCCAGGGAGCCCTATCGAGGATGGACGCCCTCCCGTCGTATATCCTAGGGTGGGGCCCAAAATTCTTGGTCCAGCCGAATAGCCTCTCGAAGCACAGCTTCCCCTGTGATACAGTGGGCACATCAGACAAGCAATCAGCCTACCAGGAGGTGCCCCACGGAATTTTCTGATCCCCCGTGGCCCCGAGGACCCACGAGAGTCCCGGGGCGTTTCAGGAGGCTCAGAGCCCGACGACGAATGTGCCCCACAAGGCTTCCTGGCACTGGCAGTCTTCATCGTAGGCGTCCACTGCAGGCCCTGAGGATCCGACGTCGCGAACAAGATGCCACACCGCAGAACATCACGACCGGAGCCCCCGACCCCATCTTCCTGCGT